TGAAATGGATCAGGAAGAAAATAATGAAATCAAGAAACAATTTTTAGAAGCTAATAAGATTAAATCAGAACCGATTACGTACATGATTTTGGTGGTGATATTAGGTGCATTCCAGGCTCAGACCTGACCTAGGAACACTAGGGTTAGGTGAAGGGTGAGAGCCCACGTTAAGGTTGGGTTTAGGCGATTATATAGTAAAATTGCTTCCGGAATGATTATCGGGATTTGTCGGGTTTGATTATCAGGATTTTCCCGTTAATGTTAAATCAATATCTATGATAATCAACATGAAAAATGGGTCAGTAATATTGGTCCTTCATACGTATTACTTTCGAACAATTTTTTCACATTTTCTTATATTAACCCTGCGATTTTTTCCTCCCACTTTTTTAATAACAAAGCCTTCGATTTTTGTTACTTTGTAAATACCGGCATGTCAAAAGATCGAGTGCACGAATATTTCAATCGCAAATCCTCCGAATGGAGTGTTGTAAACTTTCTAGAAGAAATTGATGGTGTAGGATTATTCAATGATAGAATAGGGTATTATCTCGCTTCTCTCGAGAAGCTCATGGATATGGATGATGGGGAAAGGAGTAAAAAAGCGCGAAAACTATATAAACGGTACAAAGAGGCAAGTTCAAGATTTTTAATATATATATATATGAGTGCTGTCAATAGAAAACCTGTCATCGGGCTTTCAATGTTCAATTGGTTTTCTGTATGTGTCTATGGATAATCTATCGTCGGAATAGATTGCCCATAGATAGCATGCAGAAAGCCAACTGAACATTGAAACCCCGATGACAAGTTTTCTATTGACAGCACATAAGGAATTGGTGGCGCAGCAGGAGTCTCTAGGATTTCTGTTCATTCAAGTTGAGAAATTACTAATTTACCAAAATTTACGCATTAGGGTGATCGACCAGACCGGACTCTTGCTCGTAATTGGGAGAAGGAGCGTAATTATGCGGCGAGCGGAGAAACTTCTTATGGGAATTCTCAGAATAATGGCACAATAGCATCAAATTCTGCAGGTGTAACGAATACTAAACGCAAGAAAGCTTCTTCAGAATCTTCAATATTAACAAATAAAGTGAGTCTAGTAAAATTTTAAGAGTGTTACACTGAAGCTGATTTATGATTTATTTATTTATTTATTTTTGAAGAAAGGCAAAACAGCATCACTTAGTAGAAGCCTAAGAAAAAGAGAATCCAAAAACTATGCAGAAAGTTCTGTAGAAGACACAAATTCGACTGATTCAAACTATTCAGAAAAATCTGAGAAAGTACCTTTTTTTTTCTTTTTTTTTACTGATTCGCATGAACATAATACTCTAATTCTAATACTATGTTTAAATTATCAAGCAAAAAGAACCAAAATTGCAACCATGTAGCGAAGGCATGCTATCATCAGAACCTTCAGAGGATGAAAATACACCAATTCTTGCACAACAGTTAACAATGCCATCAAATATTTCCGAAGATGCTATATTTTGTGAAGTTTCATTCCAAAAATCACCGACAACAGAAAATATTGATAATTCACGTGAATATACACCATGTCCAGTTACTCAACAATCAATCCAACAAGCATTAATTTTCGCACCAAATAAACCAATTGTTAGTAAATTGATGTATGATAGATATTCACCATACCTTATTTGCGCATTTAATGCAACAATAAATTATGTCAAGGAAACTGTTGATGAGAGAATTTATATGGAAATAAAAAATTTGTTGCAATTAAAAGATCGACTTATTTTACAACAAACTTTTGTTGATAAATTGAACAAAATATTTGAAACACCTTACGAAGAAGTTGAGTCAAAAATATTTCAAGAGACAATTATGGGTGATAGCCAAACAGAAGAAGGAAGATTTAACTTCTTTGTTCGGTATGCACTCTTAGACATATGGGGGTGAGTCAGTAGAAACGCACCATGTTGTTTTTAATGAAATTTTTTTGAATCTTCAAACAAAAATAA